CTGCATTAAATGTCACAAAATGAAATATCAGATAAATCACAAGTACATGGGGAGAAAGAGAGAGGTGGTGGCCTGACAGTTAGCCCACTGGACTCTGGGGCAGGAGGCCTAGGTCTACTCTCACAGTGTTTCTCTCCACCTAGGACTTATAACTGGGTACCACCACACTGTTAAGGAAGCCTGAAAACCTGTAGGAAGAGAAACCTGTAACAGAATAGCCTCCCATCCATTTGGAGGATGTGTGATCCTGAAAGTTAGCAAACTGGAGTAGGGCTCAAATTGACCAGATTTTACTTACGAGAAGGAAGGTACTATTTATTGTGATGTGCTTCTGGGTAAGACATTCGACTCCCACAGTTCTTATTAACATCAGTGACTTGTTTAAGCAACCTGTTGAAATCCTGAGGTGTAGGGGAGGTTAAACCTTTGAAGGACCAGTATCCCATCCAAGAGGGGGAGAGGAGTGGCAACCAGTATCCCATCCAGGAGGGGGAGAGGAGTGGCAACCAGTATCCCATCCAGGAGGGGGAGAGGAGTGGCAACAGTCTCAGTTGCTAGCTAGGATAAGCTCTAGCAGTATGGACCACTTGCCTTGTGCAGAGACTTCAGAGTTCGTTTTATTGGTAAAGTCTAGCAGTTTCAAACTGCTAAATTAGCGTACATGTGTAATCCAGTTGCCATGGGTTACCAGCCTGACATATGTAACAAAGCCTACCAATTCATAATTTAAGACACAACGTTACCAAAATATGAACCACATTCCAATTTGCTGTTTTGTTTCACAGCTATTTGAGGGCGAAAAAAGTTTTTCACTCATCATCTCCTCTCTAAAGCTTGCTTGAATTGGAAGTCGTATTTAAGTCAAAGAAAAAAAAGCAAAACAAAACAAAAAAAAACCAGATTTACATCGTACCTGGAGGAAAGTTCCCATCCCTCCCCTGACATTTCATAAAATTCGTCTTCTGTCTCCTCGTCACTTTGCACAGTCATTCGAGGAGGTGTTTCATTCTTTGGTACAATTCGTTTATTTTTCCCCTCGGTTAGAGTTAATTCAAGTCTAACCACTATACAACGAAGTTCTCTTATTTCGTCCTTCAACTCAGTAAACTTAACGACGATGTTCTGGTCTTCTCCTCTCGCAGAAAACCATTTCCTTGAAGCAGCCATTCCAGCACCTATTCCTATCCCAATTCCCAAGCCAATGGAGATACCAACAAGAATATTACGACCAAAAGATGACGAGAAACCGAAATTATCAAATAAAAGCACAGACGCCATCTTGGTTTTCCCTGGACATTTCCGCTGAAATCATTCCTAAATCGCGGGCTCGAGATGAGACAGTCTCTTCCAACAGGAGCTGGTTTTCGCATAGAATTATCTGCATACTTTTTAGTGTTTTAGTACCTTAAGAGGCAATCATTATGCCCTATATCCTGATAAGTTGTCAGATAAGGCTGGTAAGAGCTTCTTTGCTAATCGTTTTCCCCATTAAGTTTTATTCTAGCTCATATTTCCCCTTAATAGTTTTTGTGCATTAGCTTATTTAGCCCATATATTGGCTTCACTGCTCTATCACAGATTGTATTCTTTTTTGACATAATTTAGGCTAGTGGACCTACAACCTGTGGGGACGAATTTGCGGACAAAGAATTGATGAAATATCTGGAGGCCGAGCTAGTGCATACTTTTGGCAACAACTTGTGAGTTTAGTAAATGCTTTGATCCCTTTTAATAATGTGGGGGAGGAGGACAAATGTCAGTTGACATCAACGTTGAATGTTCTAATTTGGAGCGGAACTGGGAACGGAAGACTAAGGGAGTATGGGTTCAGAAAGATACAGGAGATGGAAGAAGGAGGTGGCAAGAAGAGGAAAGAAATACAAAGATGCAGATATTAGTTTATCATTACTCTGCAATGTTTTTGTCATTGAGGTTGGGAGGCGGCAGTCATTTGAAGGATAGCAAAATCTGAGATTCACACTGTCTCTGTTTCCACCCAACCCTCTTCACTTTCACAATGTAGTCACCTGAAGGGGTGTAAATAACTGGTCCTTAATGTTACCTAACAAATCTTTTTGCACACATGTTCAGTAAAGAACATATAAGCACCAATCCACCCCGTGTGGTGCTTAACAGACTGGAGGAAAGAGGATACAGAGTGGTAGCAGCAACAGGTGTTGGTCAAACACTAGTCTGGACACTCTACAAGGATGACAACCCGGAGATTGTGGACAAAGGGAAAGCTGACAGGTACAGGCTGAAATAGGTTCAGTTTGAAAAATGAACCAGACTGAATTTCATTCTTATAAGTGTCACCTGGTAATTTCTTACAAGTATTACCCCACCCCACCCCAGCAATGACAATTTATCTTAAATCAGGTGCTTCAGAGGAGACCTACAGAAGTTTTGACCTTGGTTTTGTTTATTCTTTGTCACAAATCACTGTTATGGCTCCAAAGCACATTTTTTTTTTCATGTGAATGCTTTCAGATCTAGTTGAAAAGAATTGTGTCAAAGGAATAGCACTTTTCATATGCTTTTCAAATGCTATCCACATGCTCTTCATGTGTAATAAGTGTGGAAGTGGTATAAAGACCATGCCTTGATTTTACCATGGTCAGCATATGAGTACAGTCTTGTTGGTATGTGTTAGGTAACGTATGTTTCTGGTACGAACAACTGACATTGCTTTTCATTTGATTCACAATTCTGTGATGAATTCCCATGGGCTGGAGAAATCTGCAGAACAATCAGTGCAGACTGCAGAACTCCAGACAAGCATACATCTAATTTGCATGCAGTTAGCATTGACATTTCATAGTATGCTACTCTGAAAATTTAACACTTTGTTGATAATGGACAGGTATTTTTACATTCTGCTAAGTTTAGTCACCTATAGAAATAGAAATGTCTGTAGCATTTTACCATATACATTGCTTTACCATGCATAATGTTTCTCTTTTTTTCTTTTTTTCACCAGATAAAATACTTATCTTCCAATGCATGATTGTTAAAATGAAGCTTGAAACTGTATAAATATTATACAATGACTGAAGATCTGTACAAACAGTTAAAGAAGCATTTACAGCAGATTTGAATTATTTTTTAATGTAACTTGTGCAGTCCCATGAAACCATGAAACACAGAGATTATCATTAGAGGTTCAGTTTCATGATAAGAACTTGACTAAAGTCAAATGATTCTCTATTCAATTAAAAGTCTATTTGATACTGTCAACCTTCTCAAAGAACTTTTTAAGGAGGAATACTGTTATTTAATGTTGGTTCCTCTGTTACACAACTTAAGGAGGAAATGTATACTTTTTTCCATTGCAGCCATGCACCCACTGGAAAAAGGATAACATAGATGCACTCAATCAATTGTTCATATGTAAAAATTCATGTGGTCCTCAAAATTACATATTTTCTTTATTTTGACTACTTTAATTTATACCTTTTCACAAAGCACCATATTTCAAGCAGTTTGATTCCAACCACTCTCAATGCAGATGATTTGTAAATTAAATGTGACTCAAGAATAATGAGAAGATGTTCTTAATTGCTGTCTAATGTTCTCCGTTAAATTTTGTTTAACATGTAACCTAGCAATGCGGCAGATTACTGTGCCACAAAAGGCACAACCTCGTGGCCTTTGGTTTATCCAGCTATTTAAAGAGAAACAGGAACTGGCTTTCAAGAAAGTTTCTGCAAGGGATACCCTGTCTTAAATTGCGGATAGACGCTTGACTTGGTTGTCACTGATTTTCTTCCACTTCCATTTCTCTGATCAATCGTTTCCTTTCCTCAAACTGGCGAAGTTTCATCAACACCACACTTTCATAATCTCTGGAAGATATGTTGCTGTCTGAGGGGTAATATGTCTCGGGAACCTGCAATAATGATTGACTTAGTATTTCTTACTCTGAATGAGAAGTTAGTCAATCAAGAGTGACAATCAAGACTAATTCATACCCACACCCTTGCATCTCAACCAAATGGTGTCTGCTGACACAAGTTACTTTCAGTAGCAAGATTTTATGGGAGAGGGGAGTGTCTTGGGGACAAGTACAAATCATTCTGAGCATTTTTGAGTGAGTAAACACTACCTGAAAAACAGTTTCCATCTAGACAAGTCAAATCTCACCTTCTATTTATCTGAAGCTTCACCAAAATCTCTTGTTAACTTTGAAATCCCTGGGTCAGTTTCTGCCTTTGCATTATTTGAACATGGTTCTCCATCCAACCAGGAGATTTTTAGAGGGTTATCTGGAATACCAAGCTCATTCTCTACTGCAAGTTTCTACCAATAATACAAGAAGTTAATTACCATATGCCATTATTACATCCCTTAAATTGCAAATTCAAAGAAAAAATCACAAACAATATTATTCCTTAAAACCTGTTTACAATACTTACAGCACTAGCCATTGATGTGAACTCTGCCACAGCACTTCCCTTCTTCTTGGAAGATACAATCACATAACTCACTTCGCCATACTACAAAACCAATGTACAAAACAATTACATCGACCAAGTGTTCTCTAATCCATACAAAGTGAAAATACATTACTGTTTATTCCTTATACATTTTTATTAATTGTCTTGATAAAGTTACATATTAAGTACCTTTTCTAATAGTGACCTGATCATTTCTTGTGTATATCCACCATTTGTTAAATCAGATTTCTTGCTTTTCCACCTCACCTGGGAAGGTAAATGATGTACAGATGCTGTAACATGTTGTGAAATGCTGTGTGGTACAGTTTAAGTGCACTTACGGCAATTTGATTTTTGTTTTTCATGTTTTTGTCTCAGATTGTGGTACTAGATCAGAGACTGACAAAACAAAAATAAAAGAGATTTCAAGATTTTTGTAAATTTATGCTTTTTTCTGATATCTGTTCAATCTTTGTATTATTCACCCAATCCTCTAAAGCACCAAATCTAATTAGGGAGGCTATCCTCAGCTTACAGCCTTCTCATTATAACCAACTTGTTCTGGCCAAACCTATATGAGCTGAAAGTGGTTTTCTTGACTGAAAGACATTTTCTACAGCTAACTGTAGACTACAGTATATGTTTGATTACAACTTATTTTTAATTATCATTGTTTCATATACCTTCAATTTTGGAGTGACATTTTGGTAGGTTGTATTATACTGATCAGATTCAACTTCCTTCTTTAACTGATCTCTGAGAAGTTCTTGTTGTTCCTTTAGAAGCTTGGATCCTTCCTCTCTCAACCTCTTAATCTGAACAGCAGACATGAAAATTGAGTAATTTGTGTTCTATTAAAAGTTTGCCCTTTTAAGATCAAAGACCATCAAATGACAACAGTGAAACTCACTTCAGCTTCTAAATTCTTAGCAGCCATTTCATCATTTTCCTTTTCTGTTTTAGCTGCATCCTCCCTTGCTTCAAGATCTGCAATAAATCTTACAAATTTCACCTTGCATTACCCATGTCTTCATACTCCCATTGATATCAGTTAATAACCATAACTACTCATTTCCGCCCTACCTCCCTAAGAAACCCTTGACATGATCTGAAAAAAGGCATCACTATCAAGTCCACATTGACAGCTTAGACACCCATTTATCACTGGGAGACAATAGAACCAAAACTTGCCTTATGTAAAGCATTTTTTCCTGCTCTATCTCTAAGTTAAAGAAATCAAAGAGCTTCTCTATAATTTTTGCAGGGGGAGGGGTTAGAGCAGGTTCCAATGGTACTGGTATGTTTTATCCTACCTTGTTTAAATTTTTTTCTCTTTGCATCCAAAGCCTGTGTTCGTAACCTTGCTAGTTCCTTAGCCTTCAGTACAGCATCGTAAGCAGCTTTTGCTTTTGGATCACTGAGTACCTCTAATGCCTTTGAGAGCTCATGAAATAATTCAACTGCGAGGTGAAAAAAAAAAAAAAAGATTTATGAGCATAAGGAGGTATAAAACCTACACTCAAACCACTTCCTGAAGAAATTCTCCCTTCATTTTGATAAAAAATGATCACTACAAAAACGAAAAAAATTTCAAATTTGCACGAAAGTGCATATTTAAAGATTATTCATTAACATAAATTGCATCCTTACGGGCTCGTGGGTTATCAGGATTCTTATCAGGATGACATTTCAGCGCCTTTTTCCTATAAGCTTTAGCAATCTGCAAAGCAAAACAAAAAGAAAGTGTATATGAACTGCATCGGCACCATCGCAGACCATCGCATTGCAGTCGAGTTGGACAACAGAATTTAAGTTAACGCAACACAATTTTCAGAAAATTTGTCACTCTCTTGAGGAATGATATTCATTGCATTCGATTCAACTTCAATCATAAAAAAATTACCTCTTTTAAGCTGCTTTCTTTGCCAACTCCAAGTATTTCATAGTAAGTCAATTTGTCCGCCATATTGAAAATTATAACCCAGAATTCCCTCGTCCTCTAATGGCAACACATTTTGCAAAGACTGTTGATCATCTTGGCGCCCGGTCTCCCCTTTCACTTCGTCAGATGCTCTGTCACACAGTTGTGTCCGAAAATTAAATGGACGTTGTTTATGATTCAGGGATCAATTTTATCATTTATTTACAAAAATATTGCACCAATCGGCAAAAGGAGATGCTCTTCCTTTCGAAAGTTGGTGATCCTAGAAACTCCTTTCTGATCTATTTTCCAGTGGCTTTTCATTTGAATCACAGTTTAGGAGTGAGTGTGTTGTGGACAGCTGTGCTGTCTGAATGGCTCAACCTAATTTTGAAATGGTAAGAAGGAAATGAGTTGTGTGCTATTATCTTGTGTTGTTAAAAAAAAAAATTAAATTGAAAGCTGTGGTAAAGAAAGAACCCATCAAAGCTGAGAAAGGCATACTACCATTAACATCATGTAAAACTGACCTGAGTCACTTTCCACATGCATCCTGAAACTCAGAGGAGTCTCACAAAAACTCTCAGCTCAGCAGGAAATTTCATTAAATCAGTTGCTCTCACCATCATTGGCTTCATTTCATTATTATGTGCAAGAGCATGGTTAGATAAGTAGGGGGGAATAAGACCTGGACTTAAGTGAACTCCCTCATGCCCCTTGCAAGGTTAGCCCGGTACTGCCACAAAAGGGTCCTGGTAATGGTGTCTAGGTCCTGACTTCTAATGAGAACCCTGTGCAGATGACAACAGCACATTTCAAAGTTAGGACTGCCTTCATTTTGACAATCACATACACTGAGTGACCAAGGATGTTTCAAGTTATCTTATTCTGCACATTCCATCATGAACTGTTTGCTAAGATGAATTAATATGTATGTTAGGATTCTGAGAGGTGACAGACCATACTGGTGGGTACATGAGTCAGTGCAATGGAAGAATGTGACACTTCAGCAGTTTGAATTGACTTGTGAAACGGGGCCAGGCAAGTGAAGGAGTTAGACCATAATCCTACTACCTCTGCACCTGAAAGTACAAACATGCTTTTAAAATCTCAGCCCATTAGCTTTCTTTAAAATTTCACACTATGTTACTGGTTTGTAAGTTTATTTTGAGATTTATCTGCAGCAAACGGTTTTTCTAACTTTCAAGTATTCTCTGATATCCCCAAGTTTTTAGAACTGAACATACCTAAGTATTAACGAAGCAGTTTGCTAATTGGTGTATCAAGAAGAGTAGTAACATCAACATGTCATTTATCTGTTATATTGTAGATGATTTTGTTTTTACTGCTTTTTATTTCAACAGGGTCACCATCCGGTCATGCTATGGTCACCTCTGCTGTGCTATGCTTGCTGGTGTTGCATGTGATGAGCTCACTCAAGGGGACAATCTTATTCCAAACTCATCTGTTGTTGAGATATTTTACAACTGTGATAGTTTGGAGTTTTTTTGTAATTGTTCTCTCTCTTGTTTCAGTCTCAAGAATATTCATAGCAACACATTTTCCTCATCAGGTTCTACAGGGCACAGTAATTGGTGTGATTCTAGCATTTTTTGTAAGAAAAAATATTTCTAAATTGCTAAAAATTACCTATTCTTTTTCTTATTGTGCAGCTTTTTCCTTAGCCATGGTGACAATAACTTTAGTGTCACATTTTATCCTTTCAATCCTTGTGTATGATCCTTCAATTTCGGTTATGAAAGCCAAGAAGTGGTGTATGAAAGCATCATACATCCATCTGGATACTACGCCATTTTATGCACTAGTTCGTGATTCTGGAGCAACTTTAGGATTAGGAATTGCTTTCACTGTGATGAGATTGATTCTCAGAACAAGGGAAATTATTTGGAGAGGATTTCAAGCAGCATTACTGACAGGAAGTTTGAAAATTAATTTGTCAGTTTTTGTATTACAGTTGTTGGAAGTGATATCTTTGCCAAAATCACATCCTTTGCTATTTTATTTTGCTGGATTCATTCGATGCTCTCTTATTCCAGTTGTTGTAATTTTTATTGTTCCAAGCATAGTATCACAGTGAGTGAATTAAAAAAGTGAACTTTAAAGAGGTATACCCTTTTTTTTAAAGTGATACACTTAGTTATAAGTTATTATTTCATTTCATATTTGATATGGACTTTAGTCCATGAGGATATGCTTAATTAATATATTTTTTATGCATGTGGAAATCGGCCTTCTTCAGTTCTTTGTGTCACTTTCAAGTGAGAATTTGTTTGGTTTTGAACATGTTGTTGATGGCAGATAAGCAAATTTATGTAAACGGTAAAGAAAAGAAATATATCCTGCCATTGATAAAAGTGGTCTATGTAGAGAAAATGTTTGTTTTGAATTCTTTTATAATGCAAACATGGAAACAATTTACAACACCTTGAATGAATGAATACATGAAAAAATAAATGGATAAACTCATAAGGCCCACAATTTTCCTTTCATTGGAACAACTACTGCGTGACATTTAAGTGTCAAGCGTGACCGATAAGTGTGAAAATTATGTTCGGGTGCGGAAAGATTGGAAAGGAGTGTGCTTGATACCAGTTCCTTCATGTCACGCCTCGCCTCGGTAGAAAAGGCGTCAGTCCACGCAACATGAACGTGAGTAAAATCGAAATTGAAGGTAATTAGAATATAAACCACTAGAATGTCTGCTAGAGAAATTCACGGCAATCTTTACCACAACAGGTGTACACGGATGGTAACGAACGGAAGAAACTTTGGGATGAACTTAGCAAAGAAGTGGATAGTTCACGATTAGTTGTTGTGCATTTGACAATAGGAGACGAAGGTTGGTGACAATATTTATCAGACTCGGCTTCTCTGACCTTCGGACTTCAATACCTTGACGTAATTGTCTTTCTGACCGCATTCTCCTTTGACGAGATACTGATACGTGTAAATGAAAATTTTTTGTGTTTTTTGGGGGAAATTCGAGGGCAACATGAAGGTATTGTTAACAAATGTGCACCGGCTCACACTGCACGGAATGTATGGAGCCTCTATAAATAGATTTGAACTCATACAACCAAAATACGATTAATTTAAATACCTGCTAATGGCGTTAGAGTTTTATTTATCGATCTTCCCGGTGTTCAGTAGGAACGCATGATAATATCTACGGCAATAAAGTTGTTATTGTTCGTGAAAACTTATTCAAAACAAAGTCCAAAGATGGTAATAGCATCCAACATGGTGCAAGCATTGTCTACACAGTATGTCTTACGTTTCAATATCGCCGCTTCTCGTGCATTATTCACATACTCAAAGAAAACTTTATTTCACGAATTGCGTTCAAAGCCATGTTACTTCACATGTTCGCTTAAGATCGCCCAGACCGCACTAATTATTTTCAGTTATCTGGTAGGTTATACATTTACTAATTGCCCATCCTAAGAATTTCCTTTTGAAGCCAATATATCATAAAATCGATTTAGATTGAAAAAAATATATCAAGTGGATCACCTGTCAATGTATATTGTTGAATTTAAAGTTTGGTGGACCCCAGTGTAAGGGAATCCCCTTTTGTTCAAAATCCATCCACAGGCAGTTGAGTAGATTTGAACTATTTTAAAATCAGCAGGGCTGTCATTATGGGCTGGGGGCCGGGGATTTTCCCCGACTACTGCGAGTCTGAGCCCCGGCTTCTTTGGTACAAACCAAAACATTAGAAAGTAAAAATACATGAAATGACAGTATCCGTAACCTCAAGGTTTTAAATCAAACATCCAGTCATTATTTGAGTTGCTATTATTGGAAAGTTTCAAGACACTGGGCCTTCTTGGAACATCAAAGAGCTATAGATGAATTAAAAGCAGAGTGGCTGTTAGTTCATAAATACCAGTTGCTCTTTTGATAATCAGGTTTCAAATTTGCGTAATTTCCTCCAGGGTTTGGTTTTAACATTCGAGGTGGAGTTGATCATCCTCATGTCGGTTGTGACCCAGGAATATTCATCACCACGGTCAGAGCTGATAGTGTGGCTGGGAGAGATGGGAGACTGGAACCAGGAGACAGGATATTGGCAGTAAGTAGTTGAAGAAGGGTTTTTTGAAAAAAAAAAAAAAGGAAGAAAAAAAACAAAAAAACAAAAAATACACTGAATGTTCAAATTAATTAGACCCAGTTCAGGGTTTAATAAAAAAAAAATTAATTAAAAAAAATAAACAGTTTTTAACGTGGGGAAACACTTAGCTAGAGCTAGTATACAGGTTTTCCACCAAACAACTGGAACAAATAATTCAAATTGAAAATAACGTTATTAAGAATCCCAACTGGCTGAAGGCAAACCAGTTGGCTATATTACAAGCATGGCCGAGGATTTGAAACTCGGGGCTACCGTGAAACGAATCCAGGTAGTGGCCACGGCGGGACTTGAACCCGGGAGCGGCGGATTGCAAATCTGACACACTGCCATGCTGCCTTCAAGCTTTGACTTTTGGCAAACTGTTAAGGGTTCAGTAGTAAAGAACCCACTGTGTAACCCTTAATCCCCAAAGAGTGTCTGGCTTCCAATTTCTCCTTACAATACTACCCTTTAATCAAATGGTAAGGTCGTCAGAACATTGGAAATGATCACCAAATTAAAAAGATCTGGACTGTCCAACAAAGTTGAGATCAATGGAGAATATCAATACTAATGTTAGGGTGTAAAGGGTAAATCTTTAACAAGGATGAGAATTTACCCCTTTTGTAATTAATTTTTACACTGCTGACTCTAGCGGTATGCAGGAAGTTTCTCTCTTATGGACCGAGCAATGGCTTTATTCAGTGAGAGTGAGGGGGACATGGGGGGGTTCTGAATATCGCAACACCGCAAACAGACTAGAGCAAACACTTCATCACAGCAAGAAATATTACAACACAGTGACACTGCAATATAGTCTCAGGATTTAACCGGTCTGGTTTGACTCTTCGCCATACACTGGTTTTTGGCTGGCCAATGGTGCATGTGGTAGAGGTCCAGAGGTCAAGTAAAATATTAACAAACACTTTTAAGTTCTAAGAATGTTAGATCTAGCTTGGCATGGTTCTCAAACTGAACACAATTAGATGAATTATCCAAAGTTTATTGTAATTCTTTGTATTTTGTCCGCAGCTAAATGCCACCAATCTGAAGTGTGTAACTCATGATGAAGCTGTCAACGAATTCCGCAAAGCAGAAGAAACTGTTTCCTTACTAGTCGAGAAGAATGCTGAGGCATATCTGTCGGTCAGTTTTGATTATATTTTACTTTTTTGAGCTGTTGTTCATCATTTGATTTCTCCAAAGAATATCTTTCTTTACACAAGCTGTGGATTTGTCAATGTGGGGTTACATCAGCAACCCATGACTGGCTGTAAATAAAGACATCAGGATATATTTCCTTTGTACCAAAATTGTGGTTTTAGTTTATTGATGTTTGTCCTATTTTGTAGTCAAATGAAGTCCCAAGCTCACCAGAAGTAACAATGATGGATGGGCCAGCAAGACTTGAACCAGATCAGGAAGAACCCCCTAATGCAGTAATTAGTACATTAAAACATTTCTACAATTCCAACCTAGGGGCTTTGTCAATTGGATTGGCAGTTGGAAGTTTAGCTGTATATGTTGCTCTTAGAATTTATAAAGCTACTAAATAGCACCACAGATACATAGAGATGGATACATTGTTCTTCAGTCTTTGCTACCAAGGATCCTCCAAACAGAAATTCTCCTTGCAGTGAACCAGATCAAAAAACCTGTAGATGTCAATGGCAAAGAGCCTTTTTTTTGTGAAATTTCTACAAAGCAGTATTAAGATTCATCTGTGGTGTTCTGTTAGGAGAAAATAGTGTGTAATCGTTTTAGAAAACCTAATCATTCCATGCCCGTGGAGCAGAGGGAATTTTTTCATCAGCTGACACTCTGGAGGTCAGTTTCAAAACTGGTAATTGTGAAAAACTACACTGTCTCGCAGCTAAAGTGGTTTTCTCGAAACAGAAGAAAGTGACTTAATATTTCTTAGGACGGTTCAACGTAATCTTCCCAATAACCTGCCGCGTAGTGCCTGAGGGTACGTTTTAACCTGATGTTAGATAAAATTTTTTATTCTTTGCTGGTTGATCATACAAACTATCATTCATATTACATGATGGACTAAATAATAGTAGCCTGTCACAGTAACGCTTCTTCAAGAACAGTAGGGAGGTGAAGGAGAAATTGGTTCATGTCAGGCCATTGTAGGTTGGTCTTGTGTTTGCTAGAAACCCTTCCAGTTGTTTATTTTTCTTCAGTTACATTTAGTTCTCTCTACCCCTCCACCCCACCCCCCACACCCCACCCGTCAATAGGACTAGCATAGAGATAAATACCCTAATTCTTGTGAGATCAACATAGTTACATATGGATAAACAGAATGCAAATGAATAGTCACCAGCTTTTACATTTGATTCCAAAGTTTTCAATTAGTTTATTTTGTGTACACCAACATGATTATAGAATACAAAATCTTTTTTGATGTTATCGGTGTTCTTTTCTTAGCCTCTTTAAACTCGGATGAACCACAAGTACCCCAAGCTCGTTATTTAAGAGCATCCACGAGAATGACTAACATTCAAAGCCTTCACGTTTCCTAAAGTCTGTAGAGAGATTTACGTACTAATTAATTTGGCATTTATCGACTGACGGTTTTCCTCCGTTTATGTCGTATCATGGCAGTTGCTTATTTCATACATTATTTCATACTGCATCGCTAAAATGGCAATCAACGAACTGTTAATGTACACCCTCAGTGATTGGTGGATCATTCGCTAAACGCTGTTTGGTTATTTTTGCGGCAGGTTGGAAAAAAAAGACGAAATACAATACAATACAATACATAGCTTATAGAGCGCAACGCTTCTCAAAGATTCAGCGGCGCGTTACAATGATAGTGATAGAAAAATATAATCAATTAGGAATTAAAGTGAATTAATAAAAAACTAGTGAAAAATCAATGAAAGCAAAAACTAGAACTGCCTAAGTAAATGGGTTTTAAGTTTAGACTAAAATGTTGTTAAAAAGCCCATGCAGTTGCCTAATATCATACGGCAAGGCGTTCCACAGAGTAGGAGCTCTATCAGAGAGCGTTCTATATTCATATGTTTTAAGATTGCATTTAGGTACCACTAAGAGTTTTTTCTTGGAAGATCTTAGGTTTCTATTGGGAATGTACGGTCTTAACAGTTCACTAAGATACAGAGGACTCATACCATTTGATACTTCAAAAACGAGAAGAAGTATCTTAAAATCAATACGGGCGGACACAGGCAGCCAATGTAGGCTTCTAACTAACGTGATCATATCTGCTGGTGGCTGTAAGCAGGCGGACAGCTGAATTTTGTACATGTTGTAGTCTATTAATTTGTGACTGCTGTAGGCCAGATAGAAGAACGTTACAATAATCCAACTGCGACGAAATAAAGGCATGAATGATGAATGAGTATTTCACACTGACGGTGCGAAAGGAACTTTCTAAGTTTAGCTCTGTTACGAAGGTGGAAAAAGGCAGTTTTTCAGACGTTATTTATTTGTTCATCCATAGGAAGCACACTATATCAAGCCAAACACCAATGTTCTTGGCAGCCGGATTTACTAGCGTTAATAATGTCAGCTCCGATCTTGATCGAATCCCGTGGAGGTTGAGGAGGGTGGCGTGTATTCATGACTAGGAGCTCCGTCTTATCATCCATAGTTGGACATCTTGAATACATTCCTCCACTAGGGATTTGGACTGTAAAGCATCTGAGGGGTTGAATGTGTATATCTGCGTGCCATCAGTATAGAAATGATACCTCAGACCGTGACGTTTGATGACATTTGCAATCGGGGCCGTGTACATAGCGTACAAAATCAGTCCTAACACAGAACCCTGTGGAACACCACAGGCCAGCTTGTGCTTAGATGAACAATCATTCGCCACCCTGACATATTGGAACTGATTTGAAAGATAAGAAGGCATCCAGGCCAGTGGATGCGTCTTTAAACTGACAATTTTAAGGCGTCTTCAAAGTGGCAACTTTAACGTGTACTAGAAGTGGCAATTTTAAGGCGTCCTAAAAGTGGCAACTTCAACGTGTCTTAAAAGTGGCAAATTTAACGTGTCTTAAAAGTGGCAATTTTAAAACGTCTTAAAAGTGGCAACGTTAATTAACGTGTCTAAAAAGTGGTAATTTTAAGGTCTCTTAAAAGTCCAGTGATAATTTCGTCATTTACGATATCACTAAACTTTACATATTTTGTGGCCTTGATTTATGTAAGATGCTTTTTGGATATTTCTTTTTATTAATTTTTCAAAGGGGACTTAGCCCACATACTTATAATGATCCCCTTGATTTATGTATGATGCTTTTTGGATATTTCTTTTTGTTAATTTTTCATAGGGGAATTGGCCCACATACTCATGAATAATCCCAGTTTTCTATACGCTATTATGCCACTAATGGGTATCCAACCTAATCTCTTGAAAACGTCAACTGTTCTCTTAAAATTACTCTGGCACAACGTTTTTGAATTCTAAGGAGCCTTTGTAAATTATCAATCTTAGTGTTCCCCCACACTAAACAACAATATTCAAAGATTGGTTTAATTAAAGCGTTGTAAAGCAAAATCCTAAGTGATAGATTCAGGTACTTTCTGGCTCTTTAAAGAAGATTTACCCTAGAATTTAATTTAGTGATCATGTAAGCTATATGGCTATTCTAATTAAGATGCTTGTCTATCTTCAAACCACTCCAGCAGCTTTTCATTTACGGCCTCTTCGATTACAGTGCCTTGCATCGAGAGGTTAAGCGATGGGTTTGCGCAGTGAGAAAGTATTTGCTCGGCTCCAACAAGTAGCTGTTTTGTTTTCTTTACGTTTGGGACCATCTTGTTTAGCGAGAACCAGTGATTCGTTTTGTTGAGACTTCCCTGAATTCCATGTTGGATGTCCAAGGGATTAGAATTAGCTTTCCACACTGTAGTGTCATCGGCATAAATATCCACATTGCAATCCGGTATTGCAAGTAGAAGGTCACTGATATACAACAAGAAAAGGAAAGTTCCTATTTTACACTCTTTTTTGACAAATTTTATATTGCTTCGAGCCAAATAAGTAAACTAAATGCATTTAAAGTGCTACTGAAGTGAATTTCATGAATACCCTTTTTGAAAGGAAAAAGGTTTTTCAATCATTTGAAAAGTGGGTTTAAAAAATAAAAACGTATATTGACGGTCCAAAAATTTCTCAAATCGGAGCTCAAAGAGTACTTCTTTAAGTGCGTCCATTTCGCGAATTCTGAGCCTTCGAGGTTTCCAGCGGTTGACAACACCTGTGACGTCACACGGTTGACACGCTGTAATCCATAATCAATCTTCGAGTTCATGGTGACTTGGCAATACATCTTAGCCTGCTACTACATCTTATATAATGTCCAGTTCTGACGATTCGGATTCCAACTCGAGTTCTAGGAATGTTTCGGAGGCAGGAGAAAGCGAAAACGAGAGAGATTTCGGAGTGGTTGGCGGACTCGTGGAGCCATACCGATTCGAGCCTGA